GTACAGGCAAATTCCACCAAACTTATTAGAGACGGATAATTTAAACTATATCAGAGCAAAGAAAAATATGTAAAAATTCTTAATTTTACTCAAATGAAACTACTTGGATTCCAGACTACGTGAGAATAGAGGACACAATAAAAGAGGAACAATTTTGCTTATGAATAACGCAAACTCTAAGTAATAAAAGACCGTGACAGACACAGACTAACTTTGGGGTTAAAAGCACAGATTCGGGAACAAGACTGGAGATTCAAACCCTGGTTTCACCTGTTGGATTTTGGGTAAGTTGCTCAGCCCCCATCTCACTTTCTTCCCATGTGAAATGTGGATGAGTATCTCCCTGCCCCATGGAGTTGTTACGAGTTATAATAAGTCAATAGAAAAAGTGCTTAGGACAGTCCTGGTACATAGTAAATGCTGTTTATGAGCTGATTATCATTAATATCATTCCAGGATGCAATGTAGCAAATTACATCAATAGATTTAAGCAGGAAAATTGTATAATTTTATTGGTAGATGCCAAAGGAGTATTTGATTAAATTCAACATTCATCATAAAAACTCTCTGTGATCTAGCAATATAATGAAATTTATTTAATATAATAAGGAATGTGTATCAAAATCAAGAGCTACTTCTAGGCAAAGAGGGTGAAGTGAAGCCCGACGATAGAATCTCTTTCCTGTCCTTCATTCGATGGATATTTACCAAGACCACACTCGGCTCCTGTGCTGAGAATGCAGCAGTGAACAGTCCACTGGGGCCTGGCTCTCCGGAGCTTACATTCTAAATAAGGAAAAAATTCAGAGACTGACAAGTGCTACGCCAAACTTTGAAACAGGATGGTGTGCTGGAGAGTGACCGAGCAGGTAACTGCTGAGATCCGAATGAGAAGAATGAGCCAGCCATGAAGCAGGCCAGGAGAAAGGGCATCTCAGGCCCCGGGCACAGCTACTACAACAGCTCTAAGTGGGAGTCAGCTTGGAACGGCCACGGAACAGAGAGGAGGACCAAACAGTAAGTAATAAAGATATGCAGAATTAGATCCAGTCAGAAATGTGCAAAACTTACCAGAAGAATATTATACTTTACTGGAGTCATTGAAAAAACCCTTAACGAAGGAGTATATCATGTTCATGAAAGGGAAGACACACTGTTCAAGATAATATTTCCCCCCAAATAACCTATCAAATCAATGCAATTATGATTTTAAAATTCTATTAGCTGTTTTCAGTTTGTTTGACTTGGAACTTGACAAATGAATTGTAAGATTCATCTGGACAAATAACTGTGTAAGAATAGCCCAGATATGTTGACTAAAAGAATAGTAATGAAAGAGTCGTGGCCTAGCAGACATAAAAATTAAATTATATAACTACAGTAATAAAAAGAATATGGAGCAGGTCTGGTAACAGATCAGTGAAACATGATTGAGAATCCAGAAATAGACAATGAACATATGGAAATTTAGTATTGTTCTCTATAGGAAAAAGACACATTTAAAATTAGCATAGAAAGGAAAATGGATTATTCAACAAGGATATTGGAACAATTAGCTATCAATTGTTTTAAAAGTAGAGCTTGGTCTCGACCTTATTCCGCAGATCAGAGATTCAAGTGTAAAAAATAAGCCATCAACGTTCTATAAGTAAAGGAAAAGTTTAACAGTTTTACCACTGTTAATTTGTAAAATCTGTAAATTTCTGAATGGTAAAAGACACCATAAATTCTATTAAAAGATCAATGAACAAGCCACAGACTGGGAGAAAATATTTGCAAACCATATATTGACAAAGGACTTGCATCCAAAATGTACTATAGAACTCTTTCATCTCAATAGTGAGAAAACAACCAAAAATATCGCCAGATGTGGACAGTGCCCTGGACGTCCTGAATCACTCCCAGCGGAGAACCACTGAATCGGAGACGAGCAAGATGTGAACAGACACTTCAACGAGAAGATACGGATTGAAAATAAGTGCTCGTGTGAAGACGTTCAATAGGACTGGCTGTGAGGGAAATGCAGAATAAAGCTCCGATAAAATATTACTACACACCTATTGGAACAGCTGAAATAAAAAATAGTGGTAACACCAACTACTTGTGAGAAAGTGGAGCGGTTGGAACTCTCATTCATTGCTGGCGGGAACGTCAATGGTACGAACTCTGCAATACAGTTTAGCAGTTTCTTGCAAAGTTAAACAAACACTCACCACGTGACCCAGCAATTCCACCCCTGCATGATTATCCTGGAGAAATATAAACGTGTGTTCACACAAAAACTTGTACAGGAGATTCATGGCGTCTTTATTTGTAACAGCCGAAACCCGGAAAACCCAGATGTCCTGCAGCAGGTGAATGGTCAGACACCACTGTGGCCCGTCCACACCACGGAACACCACTCAGCCAGAAAAAGGAAGATGCTGCCGATACCCTCAGCACCCTGCCTCCACCTCAAGGTCGTGATGCCGCGTGAAAAGGGCCGGTCTCACAGGGCTGCACACTGCCTGGTTCCATTTATATGACCTTCTCTAAGGGACAGGGGTAGTGATGGAGGCTAGACGGGGGGTGCCAGGAGTTACGGTTGGGGGGTGACTATTAAGGGATAGCACAGGGATGGTCTTTGTGGGGTGGGACAGGTCTGCATGCTGACTTGTGAGATTATTCAAATCTGCTCGTGTGGTAAACTCTCCACGAACCACGGACACACGCACACACGAATGCACGTAGAAACTGGTGAAACCCGAACAAGGTTCGTAATTTACTTCACAGGACTGCACCAATGTCAGCTTCCTCGTTTTTACAGTGCGCTGTGGTTATGTAAGATATTCAAGGAACCTGGGTGAGGGAGCACGGCAACTCTCCGTACTAGTTTTGCAATTTGTGTGTCTTAAAGTATTTCAAAATATATAAAGTTATAATTTAAAAAAAAAAGGACAAAAGAAAAACCAGGAAACTGCAACATATATATAATAGAAAAAGAGGTACCATTCAAAACATATAGAACTCCTATAAGTCAATATGAACATGGCAAATAACCCAATCAATAAGTGGACAAATACCAGGAAACAGAGAAGAAATGTAAAGCCACATCCCATACTTAATCTCATTAATAATCAAATAAGTTCAGCTTAAGACAGCAGGAAATATTCATTTCCATCCATAAAGGGCTGATGGCTTTATGACGTGGAGAAGGGGCAGGGCCACACTGCTGGTGGGAGTGTAAACTGGCCAACATTCCAACAGGCAGCTCGACAGCACCTCTCCAGATTTTAAATATTTACACCGTTTGACCCAGTAATTCTAATTCTAGGAAATACAAAGTTTATAAAAGTTTATAACAGTGAAAAATTGGAGGCGACCTAAATGTTTGTTACAGGGAATTGGTTACACAAACTACAACAACGGCAACTGCTATTTAATTGGCGCCTTCCACGTTCCAGGAACTCTCCTAAGTGCTGTATGCATGTTAACTCATTTGATCCTCACAGCAATCCTAAGAAGCAGCTTCCAGGTGCTCCTTTTTTTTTTGAGGAAGATTAGACCTGAGCTAACATCTGCTGCCAATCCTCCTCTTTGTGTTGAGGAAGACTGGCCCTGAGCTAACATCTGTGCCCGTCTTCTACTTTATATGTGGGACGCCTGCCACAGCATGGCTTGATTAGCAGCATGTAGGTCTGCACCCGGGATCCTAACTGGCAAACCCCAGGCCACTAAAGCAGAGCGTGCAAACTTAAATGCTCTGCCACCGGGCCGGAGCGACAATAAGGATTTTTAAAGGTAAAAGACTAAAAATTTAAAAGAGAGAGAGAGAGAAGAAAGAAAAGAACAAACACCGGGTAGGAATTGCACAGTCTTGGACACTCGTTCCCCGCCCCCCAGCTAGGGGATGGCTGTCATGGAGGGTCTCCCCTTGGCTGGGGGCTCCTTCTCCCTGAGAGTGAAGCAGGTAGGTGTTGACTCATGTAGGTGGCAGGCCACCCTCCCCAGAAGTCTCCAGGGCTGGCCCTTCCATGAGGAGCTGATAACCCCCCAGGGGAACATGAGATCCTGGCCACTGTAAACCACTTCAAAGGAAAAACGACAGACTGGATTACAAATATCATCAGAACTGAAGGTCAGAGGGACAGGCCAAGGTTTTAAAATGAGCATAACAAACACACAGAACATACAGCGTATGGATTTGAGATTCTCAGAATCACATGGGTTGTGCTTTAAAAATGCCAATATTTGCAACATGGTGGAAATTACATTCCTTGCAACTACTTAAACTTATGATGAAAAAGCATAAACATCAATTTAAACATGTGCAAAGGGGCACACCACTTTTCAACATCATTTGAGGAGCGACTTGAGCCCAAAGAAACCACAGATCCCAGCCCTGCACCACGCAGGCTGTCTGATCCTGGCCTCTCAATGGCCACAGCTCTGAACCTGCCTGTCCTGGACTTACACGGCTCTGCCAAACTGTGAGGCAGGAAGTGTCTGAAGTCTTCTGGCGAGAAAGCAATTTCTTTTTTTTTTCTTTGGTGAGGAAGATTGGCCCTGAGCTAACATCTGTACCAATCTTCTTCTATTTTGTATGTGGGACACCACCACAGCATGGCCTGAGGAGCAGAGTAGGTCCGTGCCCAGGATCCGAACCCACAAAACCCCAGTCTGCTGAAGCAGAGTGAGCAAACTTAACCACTGCACCTCTTGATTGGGATCCAAGCTTAAAATGTATCCACCCTCTCTGGGAGAAACAGGAAAAGGCTCACTTGGTGGCTAACACCCATGTCAAAAGCTCCACCTGTTTGGGGTGGGGAGGGCTTCCTGCTTAACCATTTCCTGTCCACTTCTGGGTGAGTGACACTTAAACTAATTACAAAGGTGTACTTAGGTGGGCTGCAGCAAAGCAGGGAGCTGCTCCCTAGACTTACAGGTGTGACGCTGCCATGCTGGCGGCCCCCGTCTGTGTCTAAGTCCAGTAATAATTCATTTGCTGTCAATAGTAAAACAAAGTTTTAAAGAGATAACATTTAATCCAGGAAGAAACACTCTTTAGCAAATGCTAGTACCCTTGGAACAGTGAGACGGAGAACTTCAAAGCCGTCCTCCTGGTCGTTAAATAGGAGAAAGTCCGGGCGTGGACCCAGGCTCATCGGGCATCTCCGTGCTCTCTAGGCCAAGGCTGTGCTTGAATCTGGTGCAAGGCAAGGCCATGTTTAATGCAAGCTGGCAGGATGATTTTGAGAGTCCTCTGGAAATGCTTCCTGGTGCAGCTGGGATTCATCGCCAGGTTCCGACCTCTGGGTCATGAGCCCTCTTCCTCATTTAATCCAACCATAGATGCTCTCGGGCACTGCCTCCTTCCTCCACCGCCACGCTCAGCCTGACTGCCCGGGGAGGCTATTCGCACAGACGCCACGGTGCAGTAATGCGGCGGCCCCACAGCACACTCGCAGCACAGGCGTGGAGACAGCTGTCAGGGTGCAGGCCCAGGCCAGGGACACACCAATGCGGCCGGCCACTGGGGAGGAGAGGCCCCTTCAGCACATGTTACCAAACCTGGCTCCCTAGGGTGGGCCTCAGAGCAGCCTCACACGAAACTGTCAGGGGAAGGGACGCTTCAATGAGAGTTGGAGTTAGGCCAGGAGGCGTGGGGGGCTTTGTTGCGTTGAGATACTTGGGCCTGGCCCCCTCTTCCTAATGAGTCACCTGCGTTTCCTTGGAGGAAGCCTTGCCCGACTCGTGGTGCGCAGGAAGCAGCAGGGCCCTCTGGTTTGGGGGTCTGCCGTGCTTCTGCTTTGCTCACCTGCTCTGAAGAACACTGTGGTGATGATGGAGAGAAGATGGGGACTCCCAGAAAAAGATGCGGACAGAAGGAGCTGGAATAATGACTCCAGGGCCGTTAACTGGAAATGAACTGAAGTAGGAAACGGAGAAAAACACACCGGAATAGCTTGAGTTTTCTATTTCAAGAGACTGAGAGGTCAGCTAGGCCAGCTAAATGGAAGGGACTGAACGCCTTTAAGGCCCTTCAAATATCCTACCCCATTTAATCTTTAGAGTAACCCCGGGAGGCAGAAATTACCACGCCTTATCAGTAAAGCAACAGGCTCAGAAATATCAAGTGACACGTCCAAGGTCATCTAATAAACAAGAAGTGACATGGGAATTCAGCCCTGAATGCCACGTGGGTCCCTTCACCCCACTCCACTGATCTAGTCTGAAAGCAGCTGAACTTCCAGGAAGGGAACCTTCCCGGCTACATGGGTTTGCTTCCCCTCCTCCCCAAGTTATGATTTAGCTAGAATGCAAGGGTGGAGAGTGGCCCAGGGAGCTTCATCTCGGTGCTAACACTGACTTTGCCCTTCCCCCGGCCCAGCCCACCCTACTCACGAAGGGCAGGACGTGTGTCCTATTTGCAAACCTATTTGCATGGGTTGCTCTTTGTCTGCCAGTTCAGAATAACAATAAAGCTGCCTGTCCCCTACCCCCCAAACACACACACACACACACACCCCCCATCGCACTTAGGAAGACGTCGGTGCTGGGGCCTCCTTCTCCAGGAAAGGAGGCTATTACAGAAGAAATTATTTGGTAATAAGCCAACAGGAAGCTGAGCTTGGTAGCGAGGAAATAAACCAGCCCTGGGCCTGCAAAATCGTGGCCTTATGCTCTTATTTTTCTTCCTTTTTCAAGTCAATCTATGGGAAATCTTCTCCTTCAGACATAGCCTGGAGGGGGCAGAAACACAGCCTTCAGGGGAGGGGCTTGGCCTGGGAGCAGGAAGACCAGGGCAGAACTGCCAGGAAAGCTGGGAAAGGCCCTGGTGGTCAGGTGGGGCCGAGGGCAGGTCAGGTGGGCCCCTGTGGTAAGCTGAGGTGGGGGCGTTCACCGGAGACCGTGTGGAGGGAGAGGGCCCTTGGCAGGTTTTCTGGGGTTGGCAGCAGACCAGAAGGCAAAGGGAGGCTGACCCAACCCCACCCTCAGCCCCCTTGCCTCTCTCTTGAAACGCCACACGGCTAACAATCCACGCTCGGGGTGAAGCGCTCCATTGTCCCGCTCCCCGAGAATGCATTTTCCTCAGCAGACGACCCTGAGCATCCTGAAGGGCTGAAAGGGGAATCTCAAGCTCAGAAGGAGGAGGGCGATGCTTGGAGCGACCCAGGGAGTAGCTCACGGTTTTGAGGAGGGTTGACCTTGCTTCCTGGTGGTTGGGAAACAAAAGGACTCCACAGAGGGAAGGGGCAGATGGGTTGCAGAAAGGAAACCTCACAAAAAAAATGTGATCTATTCATACAGTGGAGTATTATTCAGCCTTAAAAAGGAATGAAATTCCTGATAGGTGCTGCAACCTGGATGAACTTTGAAGACACTATGCTAAGTGAAATAAGCCAGACGCAAAAGGACAGATATGGTAGGATGCCACTTACAGGAGGTACTTAGAGTAGAGAGATTCATACAGACAAAAAGTAGAATGGTGGTTATGAGAGGTTGATGGGAGGGAGTACCGGGGAACAGGTCTTTAATGGGGACAGAGTTTCTGTTTGGGATGAAAAAGTTCTGGAGAGTGGTGATGGCTGCATAACATTGTGAATGTACTTAAAGCCACTGAACTGCACACTTGAAAATGGTTCAAATGGTAAATTTTAGCTTTTGTATATTTTACCACGATAAAAAACATAAGCCAAATCTAATAGAGCCTTTAGACCTAACTTCCAGTTTGCAGTAAATGCAGGAGTTAGAAAAACCAGTTAAATGACACTATGAAGACACAGTCAGACAAATGGAGAACGCGGGACACCCTACAGAAAACTGAACTTCAAAACGTGAATGTCATAGGGAAAAAAACTGGAGGAGTTGTTCTAATTAAAAGAGACTAAAACGAAACAATAACCAAATGTAATGCATGCACCTAATTGGATCCTGCATCAAAAACAAACAAACTTAGAAGACACATTTGAAACGACTAGGAAGAGCTGATTAAGGACTAGATATTAGGTCATATTAGAGAATTAATGTCAGTTTTCTTAGGTCTGTATACAGTATGTGGTTATGTTAGAGAATGTCCTTATTTTAGGAGCTACATGCTGAAATATGCTGAATTATCTAGGGATGAAGTTTCAAGATAAGCGCAACTCACTTTCCAGCGATCCAGGAAAAATCCACACCTATAGAGGGAGATAAAGCAAATATGGCAAACCGGAAACGCCTGTTGAATCCTAGGTGATGGCTGAACACTAGAATTCTTCCCATTTTTCTATATGGTGAAAACATTCTTCAGAAAAAGTCGGGGAAGAAAAGTTCTAGCTGCAGTTTAAGGAGCCGTGTGACCTTAGGCAGACTCCTTGCCTTCTCTCAGGCCTTATCTTCCTCAGCTAAACAACAGGCTTCAAAGTACCTACCTCACTGCTGTCTGGATTACAAGTGTGAATCACCTGGTCCAGGTGCCCAGGGGCTGTGGGGTTATTGTCCTTAGTATTATTATGACAATGCCCAGCACCGTGCCTGGGACATAGAGTGACGAGTGGCTTTGGGAAAACCACTTGAGCTGCCCGGGTCTCAGTTTCTCAGCCTGAGTCGGGGGGGAGGGGCGCCCTGGAGGCCACCCCGACCCACCAGCGCGGGGTGAGTCAAAGTGGAACTGCTGGGAGCGCGGGCTGCGGAAGCGGGGGCGGGGCCTGCGGGTGGGCGGGCGTGGGAGCCCAGGCCTGCAGGGAGGGCCGCCTCATCGGAAGTGGGGGGCGGAGCCTCCCCCCTGCGGGCCAATCACGGAGCGGATGTCAAGACCGGCGCCTAGGACAGGAGTGGAAGATGCTGGAGGATTCCGGCGCTTGCGGCTTGGGCGCTGCGGCGGGCCTCCTCTCTTCGGGTGACTGGGCCGCCTGGTCTGCTCAGGCCCTTCCCTCTCTGGTCCCCAGGGCACGAGAGGGGACGCTGCAGACCAGAAGCCCGGCCCTGCGGTCTCCTCCGGGTGTGACCGCCGGGCAGAGCCACGTAGCTCTTAGACCTGCTTCCTCGTTATAAAGTGAGAGCAGTAAAACCCCACGTAGGAGGAGGACTAGACAGGCCCCAGTGACTCATAACTAGGAGATGAAGGAGAGAATGGCGACTTGTCCCTCTGCCTCGTGGTACCGCTCGTCTTTCCGAGTCTTTCTACAGTGCACGTGTTATTTTGGTAGTCAGGAAAAAGTTAAACTAAAAATGAAGCCATCCTCTCTGGCTAGCTCACAGAGTTGTACTTGATGGCTCCTGTGCACTGAGGCAGCACCCTAAAGGAGCACTTCCGGATAGTGATTATGTGAAACTGGAATGTAAACCGGGTATTGGAGGATACCAAGGGATCACAGATAATTGTTAGATGTGATAATGGCTTTATCAGCCATAAAATTATCAATAAAACTACCCATTTTCTAGAGCTGGAGGCTGAAGCAAGGTGAAATTGACAATGTCTGGGAGCTGCTTTGAAACAAATGCTAGACCGAAGTTTTAGTTGTTGCTTTGTCTAAGAGATGTGATTGTCATTGGTCTTTCTCTGAGGCTTGTGAATACTTTAAACACGGTGTGTAGCACTTTAAGAAATGGAAGAAATAGGTCTAAGTGGGGAGGGTATCTTCCCTATCCCCAAGCTCTTTGGATTATTATATCTAGAAAAGACTGTAAAAAATCCAGTGTTTCTCTTGGTGACAATCCTAAGAGTGTTTGCAGCTGTCGGAGCTTTCCCAGGTGAATCTTTCCTGGATCTTAACATTTCTTTCTCGTCATTGATTTCATGGCATTTTGCCAATTGCAGGGCAAACGTCTATGGCAATCTGAAAAACCAAATACAAAGTGAAATGAAGACTGATCCTGAGTTCCTGTCTCCATGCTCGCCCCAGTGGAGGTTTTCAACCTCCGCTTCAGGCTGTTTGATGCCCAGTAAGCAGTGGGTGAATTCCTACTTCTCCAACTATTCTCCGAACTTTAAGGAATTCTTGCTCAGTTTGCAATTCTTAAAACAATAGTGACATAGGGGACATTGGCCTTACAGCAGACACAATTTCAGTGGGAAATTGCACCAAAGGCCCTCTCTGTCATTGAGTTAACTTGAAGGCTTACAAAGGGCTGCGAATTCTCATTTAATCCTCATTTTACAATAGTCCTGCAGGTTAGATACGGCTACAAGCCCTATTTTACCAACAAGGGCACCAAATCTTAAGTCAGGAGATGTGTCCAAGTGACACAGCAACTGCACCGCAGGACTCAGCAGCCAGTGACTCTAACCGTTGGACAGCACGGTCGTTGCCGACCACCCCACAGCCATGCCTCATCTCAGGGCCCTTGCACCCCCACCCAAGTACACGTATCTAAATGGTCGCAGAAAGGCGGTTCCCTCGCAGCCAGGGGCGTTTTACAGGCATTTGCACCAACCTCATTTGCAAACCATTTACCGGACCCGCGAAACGGGTTCAAAGGAGAGACGTTTTCGGGGAGGTGGGGCTGTGGGGGGTGGGGGAATCCTCTCCCGCTCGCCGGCGGGCTCCAATCGCGTTGTCTCATTCAATCCCAAACGGTTCCCGGCCAAACGCGCGCCATCGCCTCCGACACGCACGGGGGGCTGCAGCTGTGGTCCGGGGGGGGCCCGCAGGCGCCTGGGCAGTGCCGCTCCCGGCTCGGCCCGGCCCGTAGCCCCCGGAGGTCCGGGTGGGGGCCCCCCGGAGGGTCCTGAGGCTGCCCGGAAGGCGGGCGGACGGCGCTCCCGCGCAGCCCTTGAATTTCCACCACGACCCGCCCCTGAACCAGCGACGGGGCGCATCCAATGGGAAGGCGGCTCCGGGCCCCGCCCGCCGGGCCTCTCTGGCCAGGCCACGCCCACCGCGCTCGCCCTTCCGCGGGGCTTTAAAAGCCCGGCCGCTGGGCGCCGGGGGCTCCCAGGACCCGCGCGCCGCCTCACCTGTCTGAACCGCCAGCCGCCATGCTCTCCGTCCGCGTCCCGCTCGCCACCATCGCGGACTCGCAGCAGCAGCAGCTGCAGCTCTCGCCCATGAAGGGGCTCAGCCTGGCGGACAAGGAGAACACGGTGAGCGCGCGAGGGCCAGGGAGGGCGGCGGGCGCCTGTGGGGCGTGGGCATGCCCCTCACCGCGCGTCTCCTTGCAGCCCCCGGCCCTCAGCGGGGCCCGCGTGCTGGCCAGCAAGACCGCGAGGAGGATCTTCCAGGACCCCGGCGAGCCGGTGAGTAGCGGGCTGGGGGCGCAGGGGGCAGAGCGGGCCTGAGGGCGCGAGGGGCGCTGCATGTAGGCGGCGCCACGATTGGCGCCAAAGCCTCATTGTTTCCTCGGCTGTTTCAAACCCTAGCCCCTCCCCGGCCCGCGCTCCTTTCCCGCCAAAGTTCCCCTTCCTTATCGTTTCCTACTTGCACGTCTGTGTGTGTCCGATTGCTTCTCTGCTGCATTCCTGTTGTGTTACATATGGAACACATGTATGGCAGCTGGCCCTTGAAACCTCGAACCGCATGAGGTTGCCGATAACTGAACGTGCTTGGCCTGAAAAAATGGCAGTTTCATCTGGTGCGCCCTCTGCCTTAACATGTTCATGTCTTTCTCCCCCAACAGAAGACGAAGGTGCCTGCCCCCAGCGTGGAGGATGAGCCGCTGCTGAGAGAAAACCCTCGCCGCTTTGTCATCTTCCCCATCGAATACCATGATATTTGGCAGATGTATAAGAAAGCTGAGGCTTCCTTTTGGACAGCTGAGGAGGTAAGCGGATTAGGGAACTTGGAGACTTAAAAAAAGGGAGTTTAAGCCTTGCCCCGGGGGTGGTTGGGGACGTTCTGATTGGCGAAGGGAGCTGTATGTGAGGGGCATATTCATCGAGCGGTGCTAAACTGGAAAGAAGGGTTGAGCACCGTGCGCGCGTGTGGGTCCTCATGCTGGATCCTTGTGGACTTCAGGTGGACCTCTCCAAGGACATCCAGCACTGGGAGGCCCTGAAGCCCGAGGAGAGATACTTCATATCACACGTTCTGGCCTTCTTCGCAGCCAGTGACGGCATAGTCAATGAGAACTTGGTGAGTTTCCCCCCAAATTCTGCTTTTCCAGTATTTCAGGGAGAGCTAATTCTCGTTCCTCATCGTTGACCTTTTACCATACCGAAGGCACGTATGTTTGCAGGTGGGCTTCTCTTCTATGGCATTTCCCGTTTTATAATACTCTTCGCAATTTTTTCTTTATTACAGTACTTTTTCCCCTGACTGGAGAAGCTCAAAGGGTTAGTGGTAGTAAAAGGTTTACTCCTGTGCCTGCCGCATTGCTCTCCTTTAAAATAGCGGTTATCTATGTTCTGATCTGTAAATTGAGCATATAACGTAAAATACCCAGCTTTACCGCAGAATAGTGAAGAATGATATAAAGAAATAAACCTTAAAATGGGACAAAAAAGGGAGTGTGATGCGACCAACATCCATTGACTGACTTGCTGCCGGTGGTCTTCCCTGAGGCTGAACCTGGCTGTGTTTTACCACTAGGTGGAGCGCTTTAGCCAAGAAGTTCAGATTACAGAAGCCCGCTGTTTCTATGGCTTCCAAATCGCCATGGAAAACATACATTCTGAAATGTACAGTCTCCTCATTGACACTTACATTAAAGATTCCAAAGAAAGGTGAGTGTTTGGGTGGTGTGCCCGCATGTCTAGGACTCACTCATTGTTCCTTTATTTCGTTTTTGAATTCATATAGGGATAGAAAAATGACTCTCAAATGCTAAGTCAAAGAAATTCCCGGCACCCATGGTCATGTCTGCTGAGGAAGAGGCCGAAATTCACTTTATTAGCCAATCACTTAACAGTCATGACGTTCTTCCGTGTAATCTGTACCGTTGATCTAATGTTCTTTTGAAAAAACATCCTCGAGGCTTTCTCTGATGAACTAAAACCTAGGTCGACAGTTTTTACTTCTGTGGCAAATCTGTTGACCCACATGTGAGGCGGGGCGGACTGGAGGATGCAAGGTAGAAGGTCACCGCTTCTTGCAGAGCTGGTGAGAGGACAGAAAATGAGGCCAGAAGTATAAGCGAGGAATGAGTGATGCAGAGGCAGCCAGGAACCGTGAGACTGATTCAGACAGGGCAGTTTGACGGGAGTGGTGGTTTATATTAGGGGATAGTAGAGGAGAAATAAAGGTAGCTAAGGCCTCATTTACATTTTGAAGATGCACTGGAGAGGAGGGGGAAATTAGAAGTGGACTATTGGAGTGGTCTAGATACTAAGGTCAACTTCAGGAGCGGGGCCTGTGGAATACAAGTGGTGAGCTCAGGGAGATGATTGCATATCGCCTGGGGAAATGTGAGGAGGAAAAAGAAGTGGTGACCTGAAAGGCTAGCAGGGGTGAGGGAACCCTTTGAGGGCAAAAAGATTTGAACATGTTTGTAGACAGAAGTGGGAAAAGAAGGTAAAGGTGGGCATGATTGAGGTGAATTGCCAGAAAGGGTAGGATCAGGAAGGTCTGGTGGTTACGCTGCAAAAGCTAGGGAGAGGGACCAGCCTGGTGGAGTAATGGTTAAGCTTGCGTGCTCTGCTTCGGCGGCCCGGGGTTCATGGGTTTGGATCCTGGGCACAGACCTACACACCGCTCATCAAGCCATGCTGTGGCAGCGTCCCACATACAAAGTAGAGGAAGATCGGCACAGATGCTAGCTCAGGGACAATCTTCCTCAAGCCAAAAAAAGCTGGGGGAGAGGCACACCCAGGTCTCCACTAGACGACATTGACATGGAAAGAGAAGGAAAGGGGCCTGGTGGTCTGATGGCCTTCACTTTAGAACAGGTCACCTGGGAAGGAATATCTGGGAAGTCAGTAGGCTGCCAGGGTGTGAGCAGGGACAGGTTGGAGGCAGAGGAGGGTAATGAGGAAGACCCAGTTAAAGGCTGGGCCAGTGGATTGCCTTCCTGACCTGGGATCAAAGTGGCACAGAATTACAGTAGGAAGCAACCTGAGGTGTGTTAGGCTGTTGGCTTTAATTGTTTTATTATATGCATATGGCATTTGGGCCCAAATAATTGGCCCGATGATAGTCTTGGTGGGGGTGCTGTCTACTGAGGGAGATAACAGTAAGCACAGCTTAAGCAGTCCTGGCAGTTAAGGGTTTATGGTTCTTCAGATTGAAAGATAGGGCCTGTGAAACATGTCACAACTTGGACTTCAAATAATGAAGCCAATAAATGCTCTTGGTGTAATGTACTAAGTTTTAGTGTTAGTCATTCTTAGGGCTCAGTATGAACTAAAGAATACCTAAATTTGCATTGATGTAAACCAAATCAATGTTGAGATTTTAGCAAGAACAGTGGAGGAGGAACCAGTAAAGAGAAAACACTTCAGTTTGAGTCTCAATTTGGCCTCGATCCCAGTGTTCTTCTCTAGAAGCCTGTGGTGGGAGGTCTGTGCTGACATTGCTGATGCTCTGTGTGCCTGCTAGGGAATTTCTCTTCAATGCCATTGAGACGATGCCTTGTGTGAAGAAGAAAGCAGACTGGGCCTTGCGGTGGATTGGGGACAAAGAGGCTACCTATGGTAAGGACGCCTTTGGCCTTAGACCTGAGCTTCACTTTCTAAGTGATGTTACTGGTTTGTTTGTCCTTCATTCCTCACTGTGTGTCTTGGCGTTGACTCTTAATAGGAGAACGGGTTGTAGCCTTTGCCGCAGTGGAAGGAATCTTTTTTTCTGGCTCTTTTGCATCCATATTCTGGCTCAAGAAACGAGGACTGATGCCCGGCCTCACATTTTCCAATGAACTTATTAGCAGAGATGAGGTGAGTCTAAATCAAATAACAAGCTGATCTGCACCCCACACAGCTATGACATTGTTCCCTCAAGGGACCCCAGGATGATCAGATGCGTCCTGTCCACGTTTAACATATGCATTCAACCATATACATATTTGACAGAGGATGAAATACTTTGAATTACTTTGCTTGTATTCTCAATATGTTATAATATAGTCATACATATGTACTGCCCTATAGGGATGTTTTATTATTTTTGCCTGGTATTCTATGTGATCCTACTGTACTTCAAAGTTAGTTCAAAAGCATCCCAATGAAATGAAAATCCACTCTGCTCCAGTGTGTGTCTTTGAATCCACTTGGATTAAACTGTGGAAAGGAAGGTGAAGGTACCCAGACATTTTAAGTTAAGCCACATCTGGATTACTTGGGGTTTAATGCACTAAAACTTGGCAGGCTCAATTCACTTGAAATTGCATTGCTGATTTCCGGAGCATTAAGATGTAAATCTAAAAACTAACTCGCCTAGTCGCTGAGTTTGGCCTTTCCTGCTGGGAGTAGTGGCAAAATTAGAGCTCTCTGCTGCAGAAAGAATGAATGCTCTGAACGGAAGTTCTGCCCCATCCTTTGCCACCACACAGAGCAGCAAGTAGCACACCTGGCCTGCCATCGTCATCTAGGTGGCAGCATTGAGAGCCTTGGGTGGGGCTGAGCCTACCTCAGGATGGCAGCAGAACAGACAGTAGCTGAAGACAGTTTAAGTGCCTTCAAGATGGCCAAGCAAGATGTGTGAGGAGCATGCGGGAAAGGCTAAAGCAGTTTCCTATCCCATAGGAGTGACAGAGGTCTCCCAGTTTTATAGTGATCTGAAACTTTTTCTTCTAGGGTTTACACTGCGACTTTGCCTGCCTGATGTTCAAACACTTGGTGCACAAACCTTCGGAGCAGAGAGTAAAAGAGATAATTATCAATGCTGTTAGGATAGAACAGGTGAGCGATGCGTCCGGGCCTTGTGCTTGCGAGAGGACGTCTCTGCGCTTTTGTTTTATTGAGAAGCTGTGCTTGGTCCCTAGGAGTTCCTGACGGAGGCCCTGCCAGTGAGGCTCATTGGGATGAACTGTGCTTTAATGAAGCAGTACATTGAATTCGTGGCAGACAGACTTCTGCTGGAGCTGGGTTTTAACAAGGTGCGGTATTGTTGATAGCCTTCTGGTTCTTTTTGAAACTGGAGTTCTGTATTGATGTTTTGCTGTGAACCTTTTCAGGTTTTCAGAGTAGAAAATCCATTTGACTTTATGGAGAATATTTCACTGGAAGGGAAGACTAACTTCTTTGAGAAGAGAGTAGGCGAGTATCAGAGGATGGGAGTGATGTCCAGTCCAACAGAGAATTCTTTTACCCTGGATGCTGACTTCTAAATGAACTGAAGATGTGCTCTCATTCTGCTGATTTTTTTTTTTCCTTCTCATCCAAAGAAAAAAAAATCAGCTATTTCAAGTGTATCAACGAGCTACACCATGAATTATCCATAATGTTCATTAACGGCATCTTTAAAACTGTGTAGCTACCTCAAAATTAGTTCTGTTTATTAAGAAGGCTAGCTGTGTTACCTAGAGCAAAAGCATAGACAAGGCTTGGGTTAGGGAAGATCTCGTCCATCCCTGTTGGGCTTTTGCAAGCAGGCTAGCTGCACGTGGATTCACCGTGGCTCCGAACAGCTCTTGGCCTCTGTGGGGACTCGAGCAAGTCTGCTCCAGCGGGGTTATTAAGCTTTCACTTAGCGCCACAGGCCGTTGGAAGACATCAGCCTCACTGCTTCAAAGCAGATTTTAAAGTTTGCTTACTGATTTGTATATAAAACTGGCACTTTACACATAAATAAACATAATTTGTACTGTTGAGGTAAAGGCCTGATTCAACCTAACTTTGTTGGTTTCTCACCAAACGCAGACCTATTGGCTGCTAATGAGAGCCGATTCAAAATTTACTCGGTGACAAAAATAAGTTAAACCTGTGTAAACTAAGCATGTTATTTGTTCTTTATTTTCTTTAATGAATTGAAGGGCTTTTTAATCAACTTTAAAGTCAGTCGTGTGCATACCTAGCTATTAGCCAGTTGGTGCCACATACACGACGACAAGTTGTGTTTTGTATTCTGTAGCCCAGGTCAAGTACCATGGGATAAGAGATAAAGGAAAAAGGAGCTTCTAATTTCAATCATTAGGAATTAAAGTGTGACCTGGGCAGACTGCTGGCAACCTGGGGGTGTGAAGGACAATATCATTTTATTTCTCAAATTGTATTTTTCCTAACTTCCTCGTAGTATGAAAGATCCTTGAAATGTCTTCATAGCTGGGATCTAAGATAGTATTGTAAATTGATTTTCAAATCATCCTTGAACGAAATGACCCAGCTAAGATCTTGCTCCTATTAAGTGGTAAAAGTAGGACTGAAATTGGCTCTCCAACAAGTTGTATTCGTTCTGAGTTTGGTTTAATTTGTGTGTGAGTAGGTACTGTTGACATAATCCATTTATATTTACTACACACCTTAAATTAGAAAATGCTTTTTTTCTATGTCCTTTTAGATATATCTGTAGTTCATACTTTGAAATAATTACCCAGTATTATCTTGCAGTTCATAGTTGAGTAGATATCGTTCAGTGCAATTACTTGTAGCATTTGCCTAAATCTGAGCATCACCTGGTGCATTAGAAAACTAGTTTGTGTGAGCTATTAATACATGTTCCATTCAAATAGTAATTTCAGAAAGAAGTATAAACTAATAGATATACTTAATAGGACAGTTTGAATCAATATGCCTTTATGTTCCAATCTGCCAAAAAAAGGCCGAGGTGTTACTTGGGAGACAGCGTCATATACATCAATCCTTTGGCCACATTTGTTAACACATGTTGTGTGTTGGCTGACCACTAGCCTGTTTCATTGTCAGTTTTTTTATTGTATAAATGGTCAAATAGCCCATTTAAAAATTTCTGTAATATGTGATCGTTTTCTATCTTTTAAATTATTGTTACCTAAAGTTAATCCAGATTATATAGTCCTTACACTTGTGCGACACAAAAAACACACCAACACTTGGCCTGGTGTGGTCAGGTACAGGTGGAAGTTGGGAGCAGATTTTCGGATTCCCTTCCCGTTAGCTGTGTGATGTTAGAATTAACTTCTGCCAAGTAGGAGTCAATTTCTTCATCTGTTTAAATGGAAACAGATTTTGTCTAAAGCATTTCAAAATCTCTTAAAATTGAATACTGCACAAGTGTTAAATGATTAAAATAGAACTGCTCTTATGTCAGTTCCTTGATAAAACTTGCATTTCAATTCAGGAAGAAAAAAATCAGGAAGTATCTCATGCGTGGGGCTTTCCTCATGCCTGTTCTGGCACAAGGTACATAGGAAGAGGTGCACCTGAAAGGTGGGACCCAAAAGCATCACCTGCCACACTGCACGTGGGCGGTGTGAGGCCAGGAGCCAGTGAGTCCGCCTTCCTAACCACCCTGGGGGAGCTGCTAATCTGGGCCTCGGTTTTCCCATCTGTAAAGCAGTGGGGGTGGGAACAGATGGGGCTGAAGCTTCCTGGAGGGGTTTTGCTTTGTTCTCCCATCAGATTGACCTGTGTGGACTTCCGCGTGGGCTCAGATCAGTCCCTCTCTATAAATGCCCTTCCTGACTCAGTCCCACCCACCTTAGTAAAACCTTTTAGAAATCACACCTGTCCGTTCCCAAATGCCAAATTGTGTGTCACCACTTTTGGTCTGCAGCTGTTCGTTTAACCAACAGCAGCTACCTTGTCAGGCACTGTTCTGGGCGTTGGAGGTGCAGCAGAGGAGGAAACTGGTGCATAAGTAAATCTGGGTGTCGGGTGGGGATGTGGCTTTGGGGCCAGAACAGGGAAGGAGCAGCAGAGAATTCAAGCTGGGTGGGAGCATTAGGAGGCGTGGGGACGGTGACACTGTTTCTCTGGGGCAGAGGTGGGGATTGGGGGTGAGTCTTACTGATAGTGATGTTTTCTGGGGCAGAGGCGGGGATTGGCGGCCAGTCTTCCTGACAGTACTGCTCTTGCCTTCCTGCTTTGTTTGCATCAAAATTCCCACCGTGTTTCTCCTATGAAGGAGGATGCTCACTTAGAACACGCAGGTTTTATCCAGCTCCCTATCTTAGCACGTGGCCTCTGGGATCAGGCCTTCAGTGAGTGGCTGGTGAATGAGGAAATTAATTTGAGCTGAGTACTTTGGGGTGGGTAAGGTCTTGAGTAAAGGTGTTCTGTGTCCTGGAGGAACCCAGCCACAGAGCTTTGCCTTTGCACCCCAAAGGCACTCCATGAATGTCATTTGATTCATAATGTCAGCTGGGTGGCACCATCAGGCAGCCATGACCTACTGGAACAGCCTCCCTGGGGGCAGCCCACAGTTGGGTTTCCTCTGTTCACCTATGCCAGCCTCACATGCTCTCCCTGGAACCCCCGCCCCCCATGCCTCACTGGGAAGACCTGCGTCAGTTCGTGTGGTCAGACCACTGTCAGAATCACCAATGGATTTGATGGATAAACACTCATGGGCCCCATCCCAAACCTACTGAATCAGTCTTAGGGGGACACCAGGGAGCCTGCGATTGTAACAAGTTCACCTTGGGAGACTTGGGTATTTGAGAGCTGGATAGGATGAACTCCTTATATACAGTTCAGGCCAGTGGTTTTCAAGTCTGAGTGTCCATTACAATTGCCCGTGGGCTCTTAATACTACTGGGAAGAGCCCTGCTCGGTTTAAACTGGCTGTGCTCTGATTTGCACTCCAGATGCACTGAGCCCCCCACTTAGGTAAGAGGCACATTTACTGCATGTGGACACGGGGTCAAGCCTGGCTGCTGACAGCAGACCTGTGAGGGCCTCCCTCCGCCTGCTGGGCGCTGCTGTGGCCTGTGGTCCAGTCAGCACTGGCTCCTTACAAAGCCGGCACTAGATGGGTCATTTGTTGCCCTCCGGCCAGGGAGCTGACTGGTTTTTTTCATGTTACTGAGGATCTATGGCCCTGTCATTGTTAGTCTGGGGATCCTGACATAGCGAGATAGTCCCAGCCCCTCAGTGAGTGGCTGCAGCTTTGAGGCAACAGGATTGCATGGCTTGACCCATTCAAACCAGAGAAGACTTCATAGGACCCCTGCCCCTTTCTGTAGAGGGGCTACCCTCCTGGTGTGCTCTGGGCACGGGAGAAAGAACGTAATTAGTGGTGTCTCCTTGTCCTTCCCTAGAGGGGCTTCCCCACATCCGGATGTTGATGAGAATGGCTGAACCCACTGCTGTATGTAAGGTCTGGTAATCACAGCACCTTAGCTTGGCCGGACTAAGGTACCCTAAAAACCATTCTGCTCTGACACCGGCCAGTGATAACCAACAGCAAAAGTCAAATGGGCGATGAATTCCCGAGAAGGGGAAACTCCCAGGCGCTGGGAACGAAGATGCCGGCCACGGGAGCCTGTGCTTGCAGCAGCCCTGGCGGGGGGTAGTTCTTAGCCCATTGGGTTTGGAGGGGGGGATTCGCCTGCACTAGCGGAGGAGCTGGAACCGAGAACTCCACATGGAGCCAGGACCCCCAAGGAAATGGGGGTCAAGAAGTAATCCCACCGGCCCAGGGGAGGGGATCATCGTGTTGGTCTTGCTGGACCCCAAATCAAAACCCCAGGCCTGCACCTCAGATTGGCACTCTGGGAACTCGCGGAAGGGGCACAACCCCAGCCCGGCTGCACGTGCTTCCCACAGGTGGAGCTCACAGCCGGAAACTACAAAACGTGAGGTAACAAACTACACGATCGTAGGAATAGTGGGTTTAAAAATCCCAAGAACTTGAGGTTGTAAGACCATAGATACCACTGTGATCAAAGGGGAAAATGAATCAAACCCAAACAGTGCTCTGAAGAAGCACTAGGCAGACGGTGAAAAGAACCAGCTAGGATTGCTGGGAATGCAGCCCATGCTGGAATTAAAGCTCCAGTGAGATGAGACACAGCTGAGGAGTGAGTGACCAGAAAGGATATTATCTGAAGGGATTATCCAGAAGTAGATGGAAAATAGGAAAGGACAGGAGAGATGCAAAGGATGGAAGGGGAGGCACCTCCTTTCTAAAGGGAGCTTTAATGGACAGAATGGGTAGGCGATGTTGAGAAAGTGGTGA